TTCTCTCTCTCTCTCTCTCTCTCTCTCTCTCTCTCTCTCTCTCACACACACACACACACACACACACACACACACACACACACACACACACACAGCCTTTACTTTAAATTGAGTAGCAACTGCCTTAATTTGTCCCTGTGAAGATATATTGGTCCTGCGACTTCTAAATTCAGTGACCACCCAGATGTCTCCCATATGCCAGGAAGGGACCATGATTGCCTGGCAACAGGACACAGTTTGACAGAGAAGGTGTCTACTGCAGGACATCACAGATCTCCACGGAAATGGAAGGCTGTTGTCACATAGAGTGACCAATTCACTGCACTAAGAGTCTTGCAAGCCAGGAAATTCCTTTGTCCTAAGCAAACCAGGTTGGCCTTCGTGTGACATCACAAGATCACTCTGCAGTGGCTTCTACAACCTGGGATAGTGTCAGTGCCATGCTGCTCTCTGGCAATTTTGCATCTCATCGAAGGCTCCAGGGACTCGAGGATATAAAGCCAAGAATCCAGTATTTCGAATAGAGATTGGGTAGGTCACACAGGGACCATACATCTGGTCACTGGCAATGTGACCACTTCTGACGGGGGGTTGGTATGGACTTGGGTAGACCATTCAGTGTCGAAGTCCCTCTGCCCTGCAACTCATTAGTTCAGTAAATATTTAGTGAATGTCTTCTACCATCCAAAGCACTGAGAATACAGAAATGGCTGGATGAGACAGAGCCCTTGCCCCAAGAGAACTCATATCTAGAGGAGGATCAGAGAGCCACATGACAGTGTCAGGCAGAGCCTTGGGATGTCACTCAGTTGTAGAGAATTTGCTTGGCATATTCAAAGCCTTTGGTTCAATTCTTATAAAATAAAAAACAAGTCTGACAGAAATTCAGGTGGTGACAGCGTTATGGGCCACTTGCCATGTGGCAAAAACAGTCCACGGGGACCCAGGGCCATGGGCAACTTGGGAGGGTGCCAAGGGGCACCAGAAGTGGGACTCAGTTTTACCAAGGCCCCCAGTTGCCAACACTATGAATCATACAACTTTGAGTTGTGTGAGTCAAGGGGTATACATAACTATTTAATCGTTTGATTATGGGATATTTCTTCCTCCATGAGAAACAGCTTTATGCCTGCCATCCATATCAATACCAAATCTTGTTCTTGCAGAGATACATTGGAAACGTTTCAAGTCAAACTCACCCAAACAATAGCAGAAGGGTTGAGAAGGGGGAGAGGCCAAGCTTACTAATAAATCTGGCAATATTTTATTAAACGGAGCATGGCTGGAGTCAGCGCTTCAGCTGCTAAAATCCAAAGCAGGAAACTAAGCAAGTGTACTGAAATACAAATAGACTGTACAGTATGTACCCCCACTCCCCACAAAGCTGTGGACTGGTTCAGAAAAGGCAATAACAGCTTTATAACAAGCCAAGAAAGACACATGATTGCACAATGCCATGCATTCATTCATTGCACAAATATTGAGAGCCCACTGTGCGCCAAGATTGTCATCCATCAATAATGAGGTGATACTCGTGAATTCCATCGTATTTACCTGTATGTTGAATAACTTACTTTATTCCTCGGATTAGAAAATAATAAATTTTGGTTGTTATTTTGGTTTTTTGGCGGTGCTCGGATGGAACCCAGAGCCTGTGTCTGTTAGTCAGGTGCTACCCCACCGAGTCACATCTAAGCCCTTATCATTTAAAAAATCTTAAATATCTAAATTTTGAAAAGTATTTAAAAAGAACTGCCAGGCATTGGGGTCCCCACTTCTAATCCCAGCATGTGGAAGGCAGAGACTTAGAGATCAGGAGTTTCAGGTCATCCTTAGCTGAGGCCTGCCTGGGTGCCATGATACCCTGTCCCAAAACAAAACAAAAAAATCAAATGCAAAGCAAACAGACACCTTCCTCCAAGACAGTGTTTCTCAATCCCAGGTGTCATTGGCACTTGGCAGTAAGTGGTTGCCTTAGGGCTGACCTGGCCTTCCATTCATGATAGGTTGTTCATCGGTATCCTGGCCTCTACCCACCATGTGAACCCTTTGCACCTCCAGATTCACTACCATCAAAATCCCCAGCATTCAAATGGGCATGATGTGCCCAACACATGACCTTATCAGTAATTACGTTTATGTTCACAGAAGACTGCCGCTGTCAGCGTGGGGCAGCTTTCTTCGCAGTGGTCAGCAGAGAGAGACTCATGAGCACTGAGAATAAGGCCCATCCATAAACGGAGCGTCCGTACCACACCGTTCAAAGCTCACGAAACCCTGCGGGAGTGGAAAGAATGTAAGAACTGGAGGAAATGGGGAGTGGTGAGGAATGCTGACTTCCGGGCGTGAGGTGTGATGGCGAATCTTGGTTGTCAACATGACTGGATCTGGAATGAACTAAAAGGCAAACTGCTAGGCTCACCTGTAACAAATTATCTTTTTCTCTTCCTTTTCTCTTCCTTCCTTCCTTCGTTCCCTTCTTTCTCTCTTTCTTCTTTCTTCCTTCCTTCTCTCCTTATCTTTTTACTTTCTCTCCTCTTCCTCCTCACCTTTCTTCTCCTTTGTAACAGATTTTCTTGATCAGATCATTGACATGAAAAAAATCCACCCTAAGCATGGGTGGCACTTTTTGTGGCAGCCTAGACGAAACGATATGGAAAAAAGAAATTTTGCCTTCTGCTTGCTGGTAATTCTTCTATCTTACTGCTGTGGCATTCCTTCACTGACATTAGAAGCAACCCCTTAGGGCTTCCACCATAAAAAGCAACAGCTCTCCAGGATTCCTCAGGCCTTCAGCACTGGATTGAGACCTCAGAGACACCCAGGTTTGTATTCTGAGCAACCTACTGGATTCTCTAGTGTGAGACGGCCATTGTTGGACTACCCAGACCCCAATGTGTAAGCTAGTCCAATGAATCCCCTTTTAAAGAGTATGTTCATTCTCTCAATTCTGTTCTTTTCAGAGAACCCTGACTAATACAACACGGCTCTAGCACTCTCAAACCCATGGCAGCTGTGATTCCTCACACAAGACTGGGCCCGTCAACACCCTGTCTGCCATGGAAAGGGGGCGGGCCTCACAGGACTCCACGCCTTTCTGAGGATTTTCATACACAATTGATGGTTGATATGGGAGGGGCGTTTTCCTCAGTTGTGGGGCCACAGATAAGGTGTCCCTGATCCTGTCAACAAACTCCTCCAGGGAGTCCTGTAACCAGCCTTAAGGAAACTCGTGGGGCCACCAAAATTTTATTTTATTTATTATTTATTACTCAGTGTGTATGTGTGTGTGTGTGTGTGTGTGTGTGTGTGTGTGTGTGTGTGTACATGCAATGTGTATGTATACGTGGGCATGTTCATGCCACTCCACTCTTACGGAGGTAAGAAGACCACTCTGGAGAATCAGATCTCTCCTTCCACCAGGGATGAAACTCAGAGCATCAGGCTTGCTCTTCCACCCACGGAGCTACCTTCCTGCCCCACCCTCAGAAAGGCGTGACTAGAGAGAGAGAGCTAGCTGGAAAGAAGAGAATTAGTGTGTGTGTGTGTGTGTGTGTGTGTGTGTATGACTATGATAAACTATACTATGCATGGGTATGAAAATGTCATAATGAATCTATTATGTATAACAACATATACTAATAAAATTGTTCTCTTGAGTCCCAGTATTCAAGAGGTGAAGACAGGGGAGCAAAATGGCTTTAAAACACACACACACACACACACACACACACACACGAGAAAAAAAAAAAAAACACCACCAGCGCCTGATTGCCTTTAGGGTCACAGAGGGCCCCACATCCTCGTTCTCCAGCCCCAGCTTCAGGTTCCCAAGCCTTCATCAGAGAAGTTTCACATCGCACCAGGCAGAGGTTAACACAGAAACCCAAAACCGCCTGAGGGTAAGTGATGGTGGAGCGCTCTGCCCTAAATGGGACAGCTGTGTCCCCCTCCCCAAGGTCAGGGAGCATCACATAAGAGGAAGGGAAAGAATGGGTGGGATGAACAGTTCATCATGGACGGGGAGAGAGGCCCACAAAGCCCCACCCTCATCAGGGACCGTACGTTGCCCTTACTCCACTGAACAACCCCCTACCCACATTTGGACTAATAACTAATTAAACTCAGTGGGCCACACACAAAATAAAAACATGCAAATGGAGGGGGGCTGTTGAGAAGCCCCCCCCCGGGGGGCGGGGGAGGCATGAGAAAAAGGGAGGTGAACATGATGTGCATTTGTTATATAAGTGCACGAGACTGCTAAGCAACTTTAAGATTATTATAGTCCTCTTATTTCCTGGGTAAAAATCGCCTGTAAGAGAACAAGGCACTTTTCTTTGGGTATGGGGACTCCTAAGTGTGGACACGACAGGACACTGGTGTGGCTCCTTTCCCACTCCAGGCAGAGCCCTCCCTCCTTCCTGTGTGGATGAGGGAGGTGGCCCTCTGCAGAGAAAGGCTGGCCTGGGAGTCTGGCCAGCAAGGGAGGACAGGCTTGGCTCCGCGGGGGATCAGTGGCCTCGGGGCTTAGGTGTGTGCGTCATACTGTCATCCAGGCCATGCCCCAGACTTGCCCTCTCCCAATGAGCTTTGCTGACGACACTGGAGCAAAGCCTACACACACACACACACACACACACACACACACACACACA